AGTGACTGAACTGAACTGAAATGATAAGGACAATATATCCCCAATTTCTTCTCTCATCTCTTTTTCTGTTTTTGCCACATATTTACTCTTACATATGCTATAAATACACAATATTACTCTTTTTGCTTTATGTAGTTATCTTTCAGAGCAACTAAAAGCAACAAAAAATTAAATTTGGACTTTGTTTATCTTTAGTTATTCCATTTCCAGGGCTCTTAATTTCTTTGCAAGGATTCAAATTTCTGTCTGCTATTACATGCTTCTGTCTAAAGCACTCTTTAACATTACTTATAACATTGATCTACTGGCAATGAATTTGCTCATATTTGTTTTATGGTTTTGGTTCAGAAAAGTCTTTATTTCCTGTTCCTTTTTGAAAGACATTTTTGCTGGGTATAGGATTCTGACTTGACAGGTTTTTGCTGTTGTTCAGCTACAGAAACCTCATCCCTTGCATAGTTTCTGGAGAAGTCTACTCTAACTCTTTAATTTTCATTCCTCTATATGCTGTGTGTCTTTTTTCCACTGGCTGCCTTCATAATTTCCTTTGTCTCTGGTTTTCAGCAGTTTCTATGTAATATGCATATGGTGTGGGCGTATCTTGGGGAGGGGAGTATTAATTCTGCTAGGTGTTCTTTGAGATGTTTGGTATCTGTTATTCATTTTGGAATATCCTTGAGTATTATTTCTCCTTATTTTTTCTTCCTGGGATGCCAATTATACACAAGTTAGATCTTTTGTTATTGTTTCACATCTCTTGGATACTCTGTTGTGTTTTTCCAACCACTCTCTATCCCTTCTGCACTGTTCTGCAATCCATGTCAGAACTGGTATAAACCCAGTTTCCATACATTGAGGGTCTGAATGAAGAAACTTCATTGCTGTTATATCCTCTCTTATTCTACAAAGCCCTATGGGTTTATCCCTTTAAGAGATTGTTTTCTGGGACTTCTCTAGTGGTCCAGTGATTAAGAATCCACCTTGCAATGCAGAGGGCTTGGGTTCAAGCCCTGGTGGTGGAACTAAGATCCCACATGCCTTGGAGCAACTAAGCCCACATGTGGCAACTAAGACCCAATGCAGCCCAATAAATAAGATTGTTTTCTGCCATTTTAGTAATCTTGGGAGGGAGTGAAAGTAGATGCACATGGGCAGTCTGTCATTCTTTACCTGAAGTCAACTGTGAATTTCATTATTTAAGTTAAACTTAGTGGTGGTAAGGAACTATATTTCCTATTATCTTTGAAGTAAGTCAATCTGTTATATCATCTTTCTCATTTTAAATCACTTTTGCAGTCTCAAAAATATGAGAAAAGAATCACAAATGATAGCTAACATCTATTATACATTTACCATATGCTAGTGTTATAAATGCTATTAATGAAAGTTTATTCTCATAACAGGTTTATAATATAGATGATCTGGTTTTTTTTTTTTTCATTTTTACAGGTGAAGATAAACTGAGGCACAGGAGATTATGTAATTTTCCCCAAAATTCATAAATAGAAAATGACAGAACTTGGCTTCTTAACCACTATATTCTAACTGCTTCCAACAGATGGGAAGATGGTGGCTCTTAGGTACTACCTCTGTTTTTGTTCTCTGCAATCCTTCATGTATTACTGTTAACTTTCCAAGAATCTTAATCTATTAATCAGCAAGTACATATTCAGTGCCTGTTATGTGCCCAGAATTGTTCTGCTCACTGTATAATGGTATAAAGAAATACAGCCAGGCCATTTCCTTCAGGGAGTTTACATCTCTCCAAGAGAAGGCCCCTACAAATCTGAAAATAAGCTTAATGTACAAAGTGGAACCATCATTCAGAAAAATGAAAGCTTGATTTGATCTGGGTGCTCAGAAACCATGAAAAACTCATTAAAAACCCTGATGGTTATTTAAGAGTTTACTTAGCTTCTGGCTTACCTGTGCTGCCTTTCATCTCTTCCCTTACCTCTTTTTTTTTTTTTTTTTTGCAGCTTAATTTTAGCTATTGTACTGTTCATAAATATTTCTTCCACAGAGCAAATTTTAAAAAATCATTTATTTATTTGGCTGTGTTGGTCTTAGTTGTAGCACAGGGAACCTTTGTGGCAGCACGTGTGGTTCTCTCGTTGCTACACACACGCTGCAGTGTGTGGGCTCAGTAGCTGTGGCATGAGGCTTAGATACCCCACAGCACGTGGGATCTTATTTCCCTGACTAGGGATCGAACCCATGTCCCCTGCATTGGAAGGTGGATTCTTAATCGCTGGACAACCAGGGAAGCCCCCACAGAACAAATTAAGAGGATTGTTTATAAGCTCAAAACATCTTTGTGAAAGTTTAAAGTGGGAAGAGTCTCAAATTCTTGGTCATAGTGATATATGGAGATATATATATATATACACACACACACATATATATAAAGCTTTATAAATATATACACTTTTATCTCAACTACCTTCTTTCCTTGTCAAGTTACATAACTAGGAATGAACATGTGTTAACATCAGGCGTTCTCTATTATTTCTGGAATGGCAGTGAGTGAACAAAGGGTTCATAGATGTAATATTGTCTTTAGGTTGGCTAGCAGAGTAACTGCCTCCCAATAAAACCTAGCAAATTTTTATTGTTTCATGGATTGAATACATGAAATTAAAGAAATCCTAGGATGACTCTTTTTATAGATGATGAAGAAAATCCTCATGAGTTTGTATTATAATTTGAAGGGATTTTCCTAATGCAATACATGTCAACACACCTTAGAGAAAAAGTTGTCATTGACCTATTATCCTTACACCAAATCTCTTTCAGGATTAAGGGATAGGATTCATTCACAGTGTCAGACCACTCCCTCCCCAGTGCAATACCTAGACATTAGGTATTTGTTGGTTGGAAATATTTGTTAGGTGAAAAAATGAATCATTTGACAGTCTCCAGTTTGATGTTGAAGAAGTCTAAGTGCTCAATAACCACTTCTCCCAGTGGTAGGTTCTACACAAAACTAACAGTAACAACAGAACAGTGTTTTAGGAGAAACTTGATGATGTAGCAGTCAGACCATGTACTTTGAAGCCAAGCAGACTAGAGTCTAGTCCTATCTCTGCGACTTAGGAGCTAGCATGTAACCCTCAGGAAGGTTACTTAACCTCTTCAAGTCTCAACTTCCCAATCTTTCAACTGGGAGCAGTAAGAGTATTCCATATGCTTGTTGTAAGGATTAAAAAAGATACTCTGCACTGTGACCCACTACAGTAAGCGCTCAACACACAGTAAATAAAGTTATTATTCTACAAGAATTTTAGGAGTTGAGGCTGTGGCCATTTGGATCTGTAAAGGATCTTGACAACAGTGGGAAAATCTAAAACAGAGGAGCTTATATACTTCCTGTGTTTCTCTTGTCTTGCTTTAGGAATTTTGAGTGATGTATGTTTGGTAGTATGAGTATGTGAAAGGACACAGAGGTGCAGTGGGACAGGATCTAGAAATTCTTTCCACCTTTAGAGAAATGCCCTCTACCAAGGATTTATGCTAACAGGGCCCACAGGCCCACCCTATCAGCTGAGGATGAAAACAGCCAGAGACAATGGGATATGACGCAGTAATGAGTTCTCATTTGTCAGGCGTCTACTTGCTGATACGGTCTAAGGATATGGTGTTCAATAATTTCTAGAAATTGGTAATAATGATACCATTTACACAGCAGCTCCTCTGGCAGTTTTCAAAGTGCTTTCACATACACTCTCTGTTTAATTTCCACCACAGTGCTGTGAGGAACCTGAAATAAATATTATCATTCCCATTTTATAGATGAGTAAATATATTCTGAAAAATGAAATGACCACGTCCAAGGTCACACAGCCGCTCAGTAATCAACCTCAGATTTAAACCTGAGTTCTCACTCGGGGGTCATTAATTTTTTTTTCTCCACGAAACTAAACAGCTTGTTTATTCTACATAACTCATGTAGTATTTTAAATATTAAGTGTGCTTGCACCCATGCTCCCTGGTTTAGTCGGTAAAGAATCTGCTGCAATGCAGAAGACCTGGGTTCAGTCTTTGGGTCGGGAAGATCCCCTGGAGAAGGAAATGGCAACCCACTCCAGTATTCTTGTCTGGGAAATCCTATGAGCAGAGGAGCCTGGTGAACTACAGTCAATGGGGGTTGCAAGAGTTGAACACAACAGAGCAACTAAATCACCACCACGTACCCCTGCTAGACCTTTAAGGATTTGTGTTCATAAGGTCATTTAGTAATAAGAATCTGCCTGCAATAAAGGGACGCAGGAGACATGAGTTCACTCCCTAGGTTGGGAAGATCCCCTGGAGGAGGAAATGGCAATCCACCCCAGTATTCTTGCCTAGAGAATCCCATAGACAGAGAAGCCTGGCAGGCTACAGGCCATGGGGTCACAGAGTCGGACACGGCTGAGAGACTGAGCACACACACATGGAAGAGCAGCTCACCTTCTGTGTCTTTTTTGTCCTACAGAGAACAAAATTTGTCATCCGGATACACCCAGTGTTTAATGATGTCAATAAGGAAACAGTCCACCCTTTGGTTAAAAGACTCTTGAGTCTGCAAGGACCACTGGTTGTCCAGAGGGGGCCATAGTTATTCTGGTGAAACACAAGGGCATGGTCATTTTGATCAGTCAACTCTACAGAGGGTCCAAAGCTGTGAAACAGAGTGAACTCAGGACAGACAGCTGGAATCCTGGGAGTGTAACCTCAGCAACAGATGAGGTAGTGATGGATGACTCCTGGTTATAGTCTTTTCCTTTTCGCTCTCTCAATTTATATTCTGAGTTGTTAGCTAGAATAAATCCTACAGCTTCTAATTAATGCACTCATTGTCTTAGTTTTGAATGGGAAAGGGAAAAAATATGTTCATACCCCTGCTGGCAGCATATGAAGTATGCCTAAAGTGGAATATCTTTCTCCATCGTGAATAACATTAATCTCTGTAGTCCTCCAAAGTAACTAACTGCCACAGAGTTGAATTTCTATTTGTATGGATGGGTGGTATCCTTTATGAGTTTCCGGGTGACAATTTGTTGCAGGAAAGATTCTCTCCAGAAACCCTTCTTAAGATTATCATCAAATTCCTTAATCAAGAAGGAGAAGTCAAACCGGTTAGGCTAGATGCACAGACAACCAGTTGGCAACAAACTGAGCTCATCAGTCCTGGATTCTTAACTGTCAGAGAGGATGGGTGGATAAAGCTACAGCGGGCTTGTTGTCCATTACAAGTCTCCCAAAGGGAGGGGAGCAGCCACGCCACAGTTTCTTCTATCCTGAGCCTGTCTTGTGTTGTTCTAAGTGTGTGAGTATGAGCTGCCTGCACACACCCATGCCCTCCGAGGAGATGATGATGGGAATGGTGAACCTGAAGATACCATGGCCACTGCATCCTGTTCTCAAAAGAACCTCCTTTTGTTCCAACAATAACAATTTTCAATAAGAAGAATCATTACATTTTACACATTTCTGTATAAGGGCTTGGAGAGATACCTTACCTTGTTTGAGGTCACACAATAATTAAATGGTAATGTAGGAATTTGAGCCTGGGTCTGTCTGCCCCCAACTCAAGGCTTTTGAGCATCACTCTTATTGTCTCTACTGGGATAATGGCTTCCTTGTGGTAACTGTTAGAAGCTGGAAAATGTGGGCCTGAGGGAACTTTTCAATATGAAATGCTAACTCTTTGCCTACCAAGATTCTTATTTTTAAAAACCCAGAGGAAGTTCATATTAATAGATTTATTTAACATTTATGTACAATATTTACATTTACAAAATGCTTTGCAGTGTAACAGAATGGGCACAAATTTTTATTGCGGCATATAATTGTCTTTTCTTTCATATTCATTTATTCCTTTGATTTATTTGAAATGTTCTCTACTTGGTCTTCTGAGATCATGTACAATGGTAACAAATTTAAAATAAGATTAATAAAAGATTATTTTGTATCACTCCTAGGGAAAACTGAGCAGGGCCATGCCATTCTCTGTTCTTGATAAATGTTATGCAAAAGCGCATAATATCGTCCCCAGCACACTGCCTGTAACACCAGCTGTGCTTGTTCATGGTGCTTTGAAACTGTATTTGGCTTCTATTCCTCATTTATTTTGTGGAGTTCGTTTTCTGCCCTTTAGCTAGTTGGGGCGCTCCATATTTGGGATGATAAGCTGCTGTTTGTCATCTGAAGAGGCTGCACTGTGGCCTTTCTTCACTGATCACCAAGGTAGAAACCTCTGCAGACTTTTCCTAATGATGATTCCCTCTGCCTGGAAAGCCTTCTTCCCCAGATGGTCCCATAACTACTACCTTCTCTTCACGTGGGCCTGAGATCAAATGGCACCTTCTCCAAGAGGCCCTGCCTTGACCCCAGGTCCCAAAGAAACTCCACCATCGGTGTATCGTGGCAGTCTCTTTTATTTTCTCTTTTAGCATGTAAGATTCTTAAGTAAAAACCCTAGAATTGGACTTCTCTGGTGGTCCAAGAATGGTTAAGAATCTTCCTGCCCATGCAGGGGAACATGGGTTCGATTCCTGGTCCAGGAAGATGCCACATGCTGCGGAGAAATGAAGCCTGTGCGCCACAACTACTGAACCAGTGCTCCAGAGCCTGGGAGTTGCAATTATTGAAGCCCTCACGCCCTACAGCCTGTGCTCGGCAACAAGAGAAGCCACTGCAATGAGAAGCCTGCACACTCAATGACGAATAGCCCCGCACACCACAACTAGAGAAAGCCTGTGAGCAGCAATGAGGACCCAGCACAGCTGAAAATAAATAAATAAATAATGTTAAACCCCTAGAATTCCACTGTTTGATAAGAATAAATGTATATAATAGTTATTGATAAGTTAATATTTTGTCATTTTTAAGTTGCTAAGGAATCTCTTTAATATAAAGTACTCTGAAGGCTTACAACACATTGCTTATCTTTTTAGAGTCAGACCATCACTTTGGAGGGCATACAAATATATGGCTAGGGGAAAATGTCTGTATTTGGTTACCTTACAGGTTCTAAATCTAAATAACTTCAGTGCATGATCAGAAGATTAAAATTTTACTCTCAAAAAGTTTTTCTCATCCTTGTATATGTGTGTGTGTGAATATTAATTTTTTTTTTCTTTAAGAATTGCAGGTAGGGTGCCTAACTAAACTGTGGTTTAGAAAGACAAGTGTGGAGGTCTGCCCTGGGAAGGGAGGGTTGGGGGACAGACAAGATTGGGTAAGTGGTTCTTGACCCTGGCTGTACGTCATTAACTGGTCCTATCAATCAGGACCAGTAAAAAATCAGACCTTGGAGGGTAAGCCCAGGCACTAGTGATTTTTTTTTGTCTTTATTGAATTTGTTATAATAAAGCTTCTACTTTATGTTTTGCTTTTTTGGCCCAAGGCATGTGAAATCTCAGCTCCCTGACCAGGGACCAAACCTGCACCCCTGCTTTGGATCACAGATTCTTAACCGCTGGACTTCCAGGGAAGTCCCGGGCACTGGTGTTTTTTAAACTGTGCCAGGTGATCTGATCTGCAGCCAGGAATGAAAACCCCGGATTAGCAGGCTGCTATAGTCCATTCTTGAAAAAAGTGAGTGACCAGGGTAGCCGTTGTCAGCCCTGCCTCTCCCACGCCTGCCAGATAGAGGCACTTGATTCTCATCCAGCTCTGACCAAACCTGGAAAGAACTTAGGCTCCCCCTCTTACCTGTGGTCTGTTTCTGAAGCTGGTCTTGCTGTCTTCAGCAATGTCCAATGAGCCTGGTGGTGCCATCAGGGCTCTCCACTCTTTTCCCTGTTTCGATTTCCTTTTTTTTTTTTTTTAAAGCTGTGGGGCTTGTGGAGTCTTAGATCTTGGTTCCCCCACCAGGGATTAAACCTGGGCCCTCCACAATGAAAGCACAGAGTCCTAACCACTGGGCCACCAGGGAATTCCCCTTTTTGGATTTCCTGTTTGGTCTCTAGCTGTTCCCCTGGACCCTCAGCCCAAACCTCCGCCGACTCCTGTTTCCGGCTACTCTTTGCTTAGCTACTGCTGACTTCCGATTCATGGTGGCCTTATACCCCACGTCCAGGCTGCCAGCTGGGGTCTGGCTTCAAAGAGATGAACTACCCAGAACCACAGTGGAGGCTCCCTCCTGATTCATTCTAGCCTGGCAAACTCTGCTGCTGCCAAATCCCCCAACAGGGCAATCTCCTTGAACATGGCCCCTCAACATGGCCTTCGAATTCTTGGAGAAATAAACCCCATTCCCTGAGCAGGAGTCTGTGTAAAGCCATGTGCAAGGGGCCGGGACACAGGAAGGGGTGAAAAATGCAGTCCATTAATGAAGTCAGCCAACCACAGATGGAAAGCAAATAAGGGAGATATTGATTGAGCATTTCTAGGAAAGAAGCAAAAATTGTGTGAACATCAGCTCTATGGGGAGTTTGATTCGATCTGAGCTGAAAATAAGATGACAAAATGACAATTGTGATCACGTTGCCATGAAGCATCCAAAAGTTTGGCAACTCGGGTGTGAGTTGAGAAAGGTGTATGAATTATTTAGACAAGTTAACAATGGCAACTTCAGAGTGCTGCCCACAAGCAGGAACCAGGGGACAGAATGGGCTCAGATGAGATCTTGGCAAAGACTGGGGGGCCTGCAATGCTGCCTCCTCCCAGGAAAGGAATGGGGTAGTCAGGTCTTCAGCAATGACAGTGGGGTTCTTGGGAGCCTCTGCGGACTTGGTTGTATGAAGCATGCTCAGTTCATCTTTTTGTTTCTGGTGTAGGGGCCTCAACTCTCTGATTCTCCTCTCCTTAATGCACGCACTCAGGCAGATTGTAACTCCCTGCCCCTTTGAGACCTGAGAGGAAGGGTCATACGTCACTTCCTTGTGGAAGCCATGAAGAGCCACCACTGTATTTTTGATGTTATTGTTCTCTTTTCCTCTGATGATGAATTGTCAACCTTGTGTTCAGATGGTGGCATCGAAAAATGGTAGAATCTTTGAGTCCCTGTGTGACTAAATTAAGCACAGCCACCTGCTGACCCACAGTGGACAGACAGCATGAAAGAGACATCAATCTTCACTATGTTAACCACAGAGCATTGGGGGTTGTTATTACTGCAGCAGAGCCTAGCCTATCCTGACTACGGCAAAGGTTTTCCCCATGAAGGTGCCCCTGTTAACTCCCTAGAACTTTTACTCATCTCCAGTGTGGTAAAGTAGAAGGAGAGGGAAAAGGTTTCTGGCATTACTTTTCTGTGCTCATCTATGGCGGGTGCAGTCAGGGGATGGAGAATGGAAGGGCAATAATATTTGCTGATTTCCTGCTCTATACCAGACGCCTTGCTGGATGCTGTGCATGCAGTCAGTCTTCAGAACAGTGTGGCTAGAGGATTTTTATTTTTATATTATTGATAAGGAAGAAGAGCTCCAAAGAGTTTAAATTACTTGTTTAAAAATCACCTAACTATGGGGTCAGTACAGTGGTTAGGACTTTGCACTTCCACTGCAGGGGTGGGGGGGATGGGTTCGATTCCCTGATCAGGGAACTAAGATCTCCCATTCCATGTGGTCAATAAAATAAAATAAAAAATTTTCAGAAAAAAAAATTTTTCAAATCACCTACTAGGAACTGACAGAGTCAGGACAAGAACCCAAGTCCATCTGACTATAAAACCTATGTTCTTTTCCTGTACTATAAGCATACAAGTAATGGGCTTTAACCCTTGATAGTGTTTATCTAATATTATCTCTTTGGTTTAGTTAGATCAATCTACTATTCCAAGCTATTAATTCTTAGAATTATTTTCTTCTTTCATTTCACTCAGATTTTCACTGATCTTTGACACCCAAGGTGCTACCAATCTGCATGTTTGTTTAACTTAAACCAAATGCGCTCCGGTTTGCTTTAAGTTGGAATATCATCACCAGGATATCTGGAAATTCCTCCACTGTGGCTCCAAGTTTTAGAAACTGTGAGGTTTGCCCTTTCTGGCAAGGCTCTTGGAGGAGGAAAATAGAATGAGATGGGATGTGGAGGGAGAAGGTTTATTTGTGAAGAGGAGAGCACGAAGGCTGTACTCAATTAACAGAGGCCCTTAGTACATGGGATCTTTACAGCTGCCTCTCTATGACCCTTAAAAACCTAAGATCCAGCTACTTGAGGAGAGCCCCTGTGACTCCCACTGCGGGCGTGCATGCTCTGTTGCTAAATCATGTCTGACTCTGTGCGACCCTATGGACTGCAGCCTGCCAGGCTCCTCTGTCCATGGGATTCTCCAGGAAAGAATACTGGAGTGGGTTGCTTTTCCTTCTCCAGGGGATCTTCC